AGGATATGACAGTCTGACAGAAAATAAGCATCTGGTAGCAGACCGAAGTGAGAGCAGCTACACAGAAAGAAAGAAAAGAAATGGAATATTTTAGTTTGGTTTCAATATAAGAGATCAATCACAGGGTTCAGGTTGGTCTTGCAGCAACTTGTTCTACAACTGTATTACAAAAGGTGCTTTAGCACCGTATCGTTTGAGCCCTGCTGTTTTTATAAGAACACTAGAGGAAGGGAACTTAAACTAATATTTTAAAAACTCTTTGGGAACTTTAGTATTTCATTGTTTTATTATGATAGACACAGTTTTCATAAAATTGAAATTTTCCCCAAATGAATCAGAAAATGATACCTGAGGTTTGCTCACCTGATCAAACTCAAGGGGCATCTTTTAAGTCGGATGGGCAAAGAACATTCATTACACCTGTTGTCAGAATAGGATCTGATCCACCAAGGAGATCGTGGACCTGGCGATATAGACCGTGGATTACAGAGTTCTCCACCCCTGTTGGAGAAAACAGATCTGTGCTGAACATACCCTCATCCCTCCCAAAAGTTCTTGTGCTGTTAAGTGAAATGAGAGAAGTTTGCAAACAACAAAATATTTTGACTTGCTTGGCAATGTCAAACTTCATTTTGTCATTTCCAAGCCACTTCTATGAAACCGAATCCTTTTGTGAATAATTTGAAAATGTAGATTTTTAATTTTAATTCTGGATGCAAACAAACAGTGAAATATTTGAATTATCCATGAGGTGAAAACTGATTTTGACCAGTTCTATTTGGTAATCAGTTTAGTCACTGAATGGATTTTAGTGATTTACAAAGTTCCCAAGATATGCCAGGTATTTTTTCTTTCTCAAGAAATGGTGAAGTGGCCTTGAGCATGGTAAAATGGATGAATTTCTCTAATCTTATACTGACCTGCAATGACTCTGTCTAACTTTGATACCTTTTGCTTTCTTTCCCCCGTGTAAGTATATTATATCTTGCTTAGTAGGAGCTGTGAAGTACAGTTGTTCATAAAGTGTAGTTTTTGGACCACAAGTTATGATATACATAACATACGAGTAAGGTTTGCATATAATCTGCCTTATCTGCTGCTAAGCAAGTGTGTTTAGGTACTTATCTAGAGCCTAGTATAAAATTCATCTGCTCATCACTTTTCTTTGTTTCAACCCCTCTCCTAGAGTGATTTCTTCCCTTGCTGTCAGACCAGACCTCCTCTAGGGGTAAGGAAGGATTCCCGGATGAAATTATCATATTTAATGAGCATTTTGCTACTTATTAGACTTTACTCTCTTCATTATCAACATTAACATCTCAGGTAGTGCATTTGCTGAAACATTTCCTGGATTGTCAGGAATATATCTCCTTAGACATCTGGCCTGCATTTTCTATGATCTTCACATGAAGCCAGTGTGTGCCCAGGCTAAGTTTCCTCAGCATAAATAACAGTGTATATTGGTCTTTCTTGAAAGTTCACATCAAGGTTGAAAGACTTGTAAGTTAGTATACAATGTCAGTGAACTCTGAAAATTGAAGCTGAGGATCTTGCTGTGAATAATGACAAGCCTAGACATGATCAATAGCGGTGTTCCGAGGCGTCTGTGTACAGCTGGTGGTAAAATAGGTACACTTTATTTCCTCATATATCTGTTCAATTTTAAACCATGATGTACCTACATGTACAGATCAGATTTTGAATTTCAGTAATTACAGCTGATCATCTGAGTGGATCTCAGAAAAAGAATAAGGAATAGGAAAGCACTTGATTACTTGGCCTAGATCTTCTATAGCACAACAAAGGTCAGCAGAAAATTCTGTTTTCAATAGGCTGCTCTGGATCTTGCTTCTATTGCTGAATAGCAAAAACATTCATTTAAAACTGATCTAACACTGTGCAAGTATAAAAGTACAAGATCAGAATAAGAGTCAGGGGAAAGCTTCAATAAACATTTTTATCTTTGTAGAACGGTTTCTCACATCTTTAACGTGTTCCGGAAATGTAAATGTAAACTTTATTGGGAAAAAAGACCATATGGGAGAAGGAGATTGAAAATAGGGCCTAGCAGAAAACACAAAAAATCTTGTGGATCTTTTCACAGAATTGTGAAAAAATGAAGCAATCTCTTCTTTTTTTGCAGAATAGCTCTAAGATTACGATGTGCTATGGCTGTATCAATGAGACTGTGATCAAAGTAATGACTTAAAACTCAGTGAGATATGTTGGGTTTTGGTTTTTGTTTTGGTTTTTTCAGGATAGCTATTAATGGAAGAAGTCCCAAAGACAAGTGCTCGTTGACCAAAAGCAGGCTAATTCGCAAAGATCAATGGTCCAACAGCATTCATCTATCATCTCAGACATGTGTACATGGTAATCAATGGTCATCCATCTCTTTCCTGTAAGTTGATTAATCTTTTAAATTTTGTAGGCTTTCTATGCTGGTATAGTGCTTTTTATAATACCTGCACAAGCTTTTCTTTTTATATAAAATTAAAAAAAAGGATGAAACTATCTAAACTGTGTATGATGTAGTTCTTCAAAGTATAACGGGAATAACTGTTTGAGGTGTGAAGTTAGCTCATGGCCATTTCTTGCTGATGTTTTGAGGCCACACAGTTTTAAATGCCTTTACCCGTAATGATTTTAAACTCAGTTAAATAACAGAATTTTAGAACTGAGTTTATGGTTTATGAAAATGAACAAATTAATCTTGTAGAATAGCATAAAGAGCCAATATTGTCAGATGAGATTGGTGCAGTAAGATCTGTATCTCACAGAGGAAGAAACATTATCTGTAATCTGTCTGAAATAGGAGAAGGAACTATGTTAAATGCATGTACCTCTGAACGTTTAACTTGGCAATAGAACTTACCATCCTCCTGGTAATGTTAGATCTCTGTCTTGATCAGGGGAACCTAATCAAATATCCTTCAAAACAGACCTTCAGCTAGGTGGAATAAATGGCCACCTGACAGTTTATAAGATATCTTGACAAGAAAAGAACAAGAGTTGTCCTTGGAATATCCCCCAGTGTGCAAAATACTTAGAGAAAGATAGTATCTTGCTCATAATACAACCTATGCAGTCTTAATTGAAAGACTTCTCAGCTGGAAAAAAGTAGAAAATACTTAGTTAAATTATCATCTTGCATAAGGCAAATAATTCCTCCTACTTTTGTTTATTTGTTTTGTTTTTCTCAACAAAGAATTTCATCAAAACCTGTAATATCAGCAGAAAATTCTAAAATTAGATAAAAAATTAACCTTCATTATTATGAGTCTCATTTTTACTATTTTCTTTCTGATATATCTTGCTGTGTTCTAGTGCATCAGGTTTTTGTGAGAACAACCTGTTCCCACTGTGTTTTTGTAAACACTCTGCTTAATGCAGAATGTAGATGGATGGAATAATATAGAGTATGTTGATTAAAAAAAAGTTGAAATCACAATTTACTAAGTGATTTACATATGTCTAGCATTCTTAGTACTTATAGTACATTCTTATAGTACTATATTGTTATATTATTGCATATAGATTTTGATTTTTAAAAAGTTAAATTCTTCAAGAGAAAAATTAGGGAAATTTATCCCAGGCAGATTGACCACAGTTGTCTGAGTTCTGTTATAATAAAATGATGTAGCAAACTGGAAGCAAAATAATTAATGTTGAAAATATGAGAACAGATATTTCCTGTAGGTATTCTTTAGTACCTAAAGTCAGATGTGTCCCTAGTGATTAGTATGATGGCAAAATGTAGACAGCAGGCTGATGTTATTCATCCAGCAAATTTTTATCACTTTCTGAACTAAACTCCTCACATAACTCAGGAATAAGCTAATCTATAATTTAAAAAAAAAACAAAACAAACCCACAAAAAATAAGCCTCATATCTTGGTTAATGTCTCGCAGGAAGACTGGCAAAACAAAGAACCCAAATCTTCCAGGTCTTGGTTCTGTTCCATAATAATTTTCACAGAAGACAAGTGTCACTATGCAACTGCCATTCAAGATAAGTGGAGTCTGCATTTCGTTTTGACTCTGGGGTGTTGATGTGCTGATTAGTTTTCTGATACAGCTTGGTTGTCAACATTTAAAACATTTCTTGGAAGAAGAAAAATAATTTTGAACAGAAGGCATTCTGTTATACCTATATTTATACATATTTCCCTGCACCCTCAAAACCCAGTTATAAAGCGACTTATTGCAAGATCTGTCACCATCGCCTTGGAAACTGGTCCATTGACAGCATGTTTTCAATCAGTCGTCTCTCATAAGTATATAGCTTTCTTTTTTTTTTTTAAGCATGTTTGAATAGTTTGAATGCTTACCCTGAAAAAGGCAAAAACATGCTAAATTCAGAATGGACATTTTGGAGGGTGACATGTCTCATCAAACAGAATAGCTGACTTCTTTTTTCTTTTTTTTTTTTTTTTGCAACTGATATAGGTCACAAATTTGTAATCAGGGTACTTGCATGAGAAGGAGAAGTTCCAGTCGGTGCTCCACAGGCTGCTTCAGTTTCTTGTGAAACAGTCATTGATGATGAACCTACCTACCTGATATCTACTCGTCAAGGCACTTTTTTCCCGCAATATGGGAGAGTACCTTCTTTCCAGAGTAGTGGGTAGCTTTAACATTCTCTTGGGAGACATGCAGCTGCAAATCCCTTTAGGATGAGGAATACAGGGAAAGGAGCTCTTCTGCATTTTTGAAAAGTGATCTATTTATGTAAAAGGGTGAGGCCATGTCCTACAGTAGCTGTGCTCTCCAAGGGAGAAAAGAAGCAAGCTGTTTTGTGTTCATAAGGGAAGAACTAAAGCTCTGATTTGGAGAGAGCAGGTTGTCTTTTGTTTGCACTGCACAGAGTACGTGGTGCCTGGCAAATCATGGTGTTTAAGACCTGCCCACATCAGTCTTGTTCCACTGGATACCCACCTCTGGGTTGCTCAGGGGAGATCCCCAAGTACCTGTCTCAACATTACAATTTCTGTTCCAGAACTTTGACCCCTCAAGCTGATTACTTCAGTGCTCATCATTGCAGACTAAACCCAGTTTTGGAATTGGGCTTTAATCAATCAATACTTGTGGATACAAGGCCTGATCTCAGATCAGGACCACCAAATACTGGTAAGAAGTTTTTGTTATGGATAAGAAAAATGATGATATTTCCCTGTATTAGAAGGGCATCCAGAAGAAAATACATAAAGACATCACCTTCTTGCTAAGATATCTAAACTTTTTCCATTGAAATAGTACTGAATGAAAGTGGTTTAAGGCCTATCATGAGTGAAGTGCATATTCTGTGTATTTTTCCAGGGATATCATTAACATGAGTTATTTCTGAATTTATTATTGTTTGTTGTATAAGTAACACCTAAAATGCCTTACAGAAAGAGGATTAAAGGAAATATATATATTTGTCTTTTCTAATATCACTTGTATCTTTTGGCAGTGCTTTATGCATGGTCAGATTTAGTTTTCACTACAAAGTCAATTACTTGGTCTCTTCTTTTATGTGCTGTTTTTTTTAAAAATCAACAGGGGACAGATGAAGATTTTGAAATATGATTTTAAGTCCAGAGAAATTGTCAAGGAGACTCAGCAACAGGTAAAAAGTTTCACAACTGCTTTAAACTCTTTGTGTTTGATCAGGCTCTTTTTCAACTTCATGGCATCTGCAGACAGATCCTTGATGGCTCTACTCTCTGTGGCTTGGGGGACTTGCTGTCTTCATTTCCTATGGAGCTCAAACTGTTACACCTATATGTTAATATTTACATGACTCCAACACACGCTCTTGTCAAGCCATGGGGCCCAATCTACTTCCAGAGCACACTGACAGCTTCTATTCTGCCAGTTGGTACTGGTGGGTTTCTTTTTCTCACCTCATAAGGTTAGCTGTGAAACTGTTGGTGAATTTAGGTAACCTCATTGTGCTCCAGGGTACACATGTCCTCCCTCTAGGGTGGTTGTTCTCAAAGGAGTGGTTAAACTCCTTATGGATTCGACCACCTATGCTACTCTTTGGGAGGTCACACAGAAATGGGGTCACAGTTGGAAATCAGTTGAGGTGCTGTGCTACGGTGTTAGGTTCCTTCTCTGCAGGTCAGGAGCTCTATGAGATGAGATGCTTCACTCAAAATCAGGAATCCCAAATCACGGTCCCGTAAGGTCCTTGCAATGCAGTAATAGCGCAGCCCTGAACCAGGGTCTTCCCGCTGCCCTCACTTAGGTGAGAAAGAGGAGTCCTCTTAGAATGGTACAAGGAAAGGAGCTAGTTCTTGCTGGCTGGAAAAGAGAACAAGATGCACTTGTCCTGCTCAGGGATCCCAAGAAATTGAAAAGTTCACAATCCTACTCCGTTTCCCCACCAGTCTGTGAAAGACAACATCCTTCCGACCCTCTATCTGTCATGCAACAGAACAAGAATTAGCAGATAGCAAGTTTCCCCCACCTCCAAAGCACACAGTCTCTGGATACGGTATTCCTTTAAGAATTTTACTAAATCTGCACGTGAGCTCAATCTGCCCATAGAAGAATTTCAATTTGTGCAGATGGTATCATTTGGCAGATCACTCTGATGTTGGCAGCATCACAGGGGTCATATTTTTGCACAGATGGACTGTTCTTCATCTGTTTCTTTATTGTAATAGACCCAAATAGATTTTCCCACAATAGTACATATGCGCATTACAACTCTCCTTGCTTCCTGTCAGACAACTTATTTAGTGAGAGCACACAAAAATTTCTCTCTCTCTCCCTCTCTCCCTCTCTTTCTCTTTGTTCATGTACCGAGTCCTCTTTGTTTTGGGGATGCAGGGTGAGGACTAGGTCGAGCTATCAAGGATCTCTGTATTCCTGAGACATAAAATCTGGTGGGATCACTGAGATGATATTCAGAGCACTGCTGTGAGTTTAGGATGTATAGATTTTTTTTTTTGGTAAATATTTTTTGCACAATGCACATATTTATTACGGCTCCCTCATAAACCAAGAGCACTTACAGCTGACATGTGAATGGGCAATTGGAGGGATTGGAGAGGCTGGGGAATCAATAATTAAAAACTAGAGATCTTGAAACCAGAGCAATGATTTGACTCTAGTAGTAATGACCAGAATCTGTTACCATTTGACAGCTGGTTAGAAAATTATGTTAAATGAACTCATTTTTTTAGTGGTGAGATTTTTTTTTTTTTTAGACATCTATTGTCACTCTCACTTGCAATCTTAGTGTGGCAGCAATGAACTGAGTGGACAACATTCAGTTGTCCTACCAGAAATGGTTTATGGCATAGCAAAAGGACATTTTGGAAAACTTGCACTGCTTCTATTTTGCTTTACACAAGCACTTGCTTTGTTAATAGAAAACTTTATCCCTGCATGCCTTACACTTCATTAATGATGAACTTGTTGTCTTGTGAGGAAACTTGGACATTTTCAGTCTACACATTGATATCAACTTTGTCTTTTCCTTCTCACTTGCTAATCTAATCAATTTATTCTAAACTTCTTAGATATCACAGGTAGTGCAAATATTTTGGTATGGGCATTGCTTGCTGTGTACAACCATTAAGGAGTTTTCACCATGTGTAAATGAGAACAAAATAGCTAGGGAGCTTGCACAGTGAATTTCTTGACATGTATATGCCCAGACTCCTAAATATAGTATCTCAGTAATGTAATTTTTGTGGATGAGACAGCATATAGAGTACCCTTTTTTTCTCAAAAAGAGTACTGTTTCAAAGAAAAGTAGTTGCTCATAATGTAAACATTACTGAAAAGACAATCCCTTCTACAACTGCTTCTAAATAAAAAATACTTCTGCTTATTTGCTGATTGATTTTTAACTTTTTGACAGCCTAGTGAACAAAAGGAAGAACTTGTGAGTGAAATTCCAGTAACAACAGTTAAGTAACTTCTTGGCTATGCTGGGTAACAGGGAGAATAAAACTGCTGACTGTAGTTAAATATACAGATTACTTGGGAAATACATAAAAACTCAAAACCAACAAATCCCCCAAACTTTAATTTTATATCCATCTGGTAAGTCTTCATAATCAGTCCCTAATTATCTTCTTGTTAATCCATTTCTGGTTACTCTGACACCTTAGAAATTTTACTATGAATAGATTTCTTGCCTAAGGCTATGGAAAATTATACATGCTTGGATACAGCTGGTTTCTGTTTTGGGGTTGTTTTCTTTTTCCTTCACAGTTACTGAACATATCTAGACAAGTAGTTGCACTGAATTTTGCTTTTTCACTACAATTCTGGGGCTTAAAAAGCAGTTTAAACCAGAATGTTCCTAGAAGACTAGCAGCTACAGGAAGCAAAATAAAAAGAGGGATGCAATTTGTAATGTAGTTCTGTAGCATGTTATCATATGATAACATACGGGTGAAGAGATGGAGACCAAAATACTTGTGATATTGGAGGTTTTGGCTTTTTTTGAGATAATTTAGTGTTTTCTTCTTGAACAAGGACAAACCTTTCCTCCTGATTTTGAAAGGCATGTGGGGTGTTTCAGTTTCTGGAAGGTTTGTCCTCTCCTTAGCTATGTCTGATGCAATGCAGTAGGAATTTCAGTCAGCACATTGCTGACTGGTTTCTCCAAATTAGTCTCTAACAGCTGAACTTCTTTTCCAGAGTTTGGAGGTTTAAGCAGTTTGTGAAGCTGAACAGGAGACGACTTTCACAGAGAGACTTGTTACAGATTAGTTGTACAGGTTCAAATCAACAAGACAGCTGACACCAAGGCCTCTCACATGCTGTATTTATATTTAATAAATATATTTGTAGGGGATGGATTCTAGAGAAGATTTTATTTTCTCCTTTCATTCCCCAAATATTGAAATGATAATCACACTAATAACTGTGAATCCTAAACCCCAAAGAACACTATTATGTGCAGTATACTGGCATAGTAAAATAGCAAAATATTCTTCTGCTCATCAGAAGAGTGGGTTGAGAACTCAAGATATGGGTATCCTTTTCTCTGAGGATGAGTAGTAGCCCTGCTGGAGCTGAACTGTATGATAAGTAAGAACAAGCATGGACTGATAATGCTTTTATCACAAGAATTAAGATGATCAGCAACCACCAGTTTGTAGATCTGGGTTTGTGAAGTCCAATCACCAAACCCCAGTTGGCAACCAAGCAACATGCAGCTGCATGCTCAGTCCCCCCTAGATACCATTCTGCAGTCAACAAAGACAATTTGCAATCGAGTATTGAGCAAAAAGTTACTTGTCCTATGAAGAGATAACACCCTTGAGAAATATGTGCTGTGTCCATGGTAAGTACTGCCCACCATAGGAGAAAATCAGATTCAAGACCATCTAAGGAACCTTAATGTGCACAAGTTCATGGGACCTGATAAGACACATCCAAGGGTCTTGAGGAAATTGGCAGATGAAGTTACTAAGCCATTCTATCATATCTCAAGAGACATGGCAGACTGGGGAAGTTCTACCATGTTTAACCCCAGCTGGCAACTAAGCATGCAGCCACTTGCTCACTTTCCCCCAGTATGATGCAGGAGAGAACTAAAAGGGTAAAAGTGAGAAAAGTTGTGCATTGAGATAAAGGCAATTTAATAGGGAAAGCAAAAGTTGCACACACAAGCAGAGCAAACTAAGTAATCAGTTACCACTTCGCATGGGCAGACAAGTGTTCATTCATGTCCAGGACAGCAGGGTACCATCACACCTAACGTGCTCGAGAAGAAAATTAACTCCAGACATGCCCATTCCCTTCTTCTTCCTTCAGCTTTATATGCTGGGCACGATGCCATATGGTATGGAATATCCCTTTGGTCAATTGGGGTCAGCTGTACTGGCTGTCGTCCCTCCCAACTTCTTGTGCACTCCCTGCCTGGTCACTGGTGGGTTGGGGTGAGGAGCAGAAAAAGTCTTCTCTAACCATTGCACAGAGAATACAAAACCAAGTTTTACCTATGGAGCAAGGCCTGTGGAGCAGCTGATGTGATAGTTGGTCAGAGTATGTCCGGTCTGCATGACCTGATCAGGCTTTGTACCTGGCATGTGCCACTTAGTGCCCATGTGATGATGGGAAGGACTGGAGCTGAAGAGATAGACTAAGAGCTGTTGGGCTAGAGACAGAATGCTCATGATACAGAGAGAGAGCACCTGAATAGTACAGGTAGGTTTTCATCATCATCATGGCTAGGCTTCGCGAACGAAGATTTGGGAAGGGCTCTACCCACGTTTCTTGCAAGCACGTTGGTGGCTAAAAAGGCCAATACGAGAAAGGCAAGTCCGGTTGGAAAAGACACAGCAGAAAAACTCCTTAGATGGTATATTCTGCAAGGCTCGATTCTTTCTGCGTTGTCTTTTCTCCTCAAGGGTGAATCTGCGTGCTTTCTCAAAAGCATCAGCAGCGTTATAAATGGTGTGTCTCCAGGCCTCCCGATTGGAGGCCAGAGTGGACCAGTTATGGTGATCAATATGCCCGAGGCTGAGATGTTGCTTCAGGGAGTCCTTGTATCTTTTCTTCGGAGCTCCTCTCTTGCGGCAGCCGGAGGCAAGTTCACCATAGAGCAGGATCTTAGGGAGGCGGTGGTCCTTCATCCTGGAGACGTGCCCTGCCCAACGCAGCTGCGTTCTCAGTAACATGGCCTCAATACTTGTAATTGCTGCCTGTTCGAGAACAGATGTATTGGTCACATAGTCTGACCAGTGGATGTTAAGGATTGTACGGAGGCAGCGTTGATGGAAGCGTTCTAGGAGAGGCAGCGTTGATGGAAGCGTTCTAGGTAGGTTTTAGGGCTTATGAAACTCCACTCATGGGAATCACTGCTGACGGGAATGTTTCCATGGTCCGTACTGGGCTGAGCAAAACCCTGCTACTGTGTTGAAATGTGACTACTGAGGTTTGTCCATAGTAGTTGTGCTGCTTCTTTACTGCCTCACTCTTCCTACAAAACAACGAAGGGGTTTTGCATAACCTGAAACGCTAATGGGCACTCACAATATGGGTTCAATAGAACCCAGATACACCACTGTTGGTCTCTAGCTTCTTGTCAATATTTCACTTAGGAGGTGATTTATGGTTTCTGAAAGGCAGTGGAAGAGAAACCTCCTGCTTTACAGTGCCAGTATGAGACAGCAAAGTCCATCAGAACAAGCAAAAAGAACACTTTTTGAATTCTACAGCCTTTGTGAAAATGGAGGTAGTCAATCTTGTGCTTAAATTTTGCCAATATGAATTACTTTGTAAAACACTCCAAAATGGAATACAGGCCTGAATACAAACTGACTTCATACACACTAAGTCAAGTTGAAGTAAATGAGAAGTGAGCCCATGGTTTTTATGCTGCAAATGTCTGAGATGTTCTGATAGACACCCAAGACAAGGATTTTAGTCAGCTGTGAATATTTATGTCTAAGAGAGGAGAGAGAGGGGAAAAAATTGGAAGATAAATGTAACTAGCATCATAATGGTGAAATTTATCAGAATTTCCATTATCAGAGCCTGTTTACAAGTTGTAAATATTCCCTCTGGGTTGAGACTTAAAATTCAAGGTCATACACAGGAAATTATATTTATCTTTTCTAAATTAAAACATTGGTTCAGCAGCTTTAAAAAACTGCAATCACAAGAAAATCCTCAGAGTGCAAGAAGTTCAGGTACTTCTGGCTTCTTTTTTTTTTCAATCTACATTTTCTTTCTGCCTAATAAACATGGCATATGCTGGGAATTTTAAAGCCTTGACCTGTTACTCTGACATTAGTAGTAGAGATATGTTGAAAAGTAATGTAATGAGAGTCTTTCACCTATGACTGTACCTTTTCTTGATGACATTTTCTGTTATTTTGCTTTTCAAGCTCCATAGCATTCAGTGTTCCTTCTTTATATTTATAAGAGGATTTTGTTACGAATAAGTCTTATCACTATTCAAATAGAGTAATTATTTTTTTCATATTAACATTTCCTTTCCTACACAATAATAAATATATCTTTAAACTTCTCTATTTTTGAAGGAATGTAGAAATTAAAATGCACTTAACGACTCCTTATTTGCATGCAAATTGTCATGAAGGAGAATGTGAGGATAGGCAAAATAGTATGTAATTTTCAATTATCTATATATATCTAGTATTATTATAAATATCTTCGAAGATTTTTTGACTTCTGATAGCATGTCATAACTGTTTTTGTGATTTAGAATATAATTTTATGATTTAGATTACTAAGGAGCATTTTATAGTCTCCAGTATTTTTTTTCCCTCTAATTCCAAGTTAAGCATGAAAGAATTAGTCTGTATGGGGCCAGTCAAATTGTCTGTGAATAATTTTCTGTTAAATAGTATTCCAGCAAAGAATACTTCATTTCCCAGAGTATTTTAACTGGTGTTTACTGGAGCTAATTGAATACTGCCCATTTACTATATTGGCACATTTTGGTGTGACTGAATACATTACTCAATTAACCATTTCTGTAATATTAGACCAGCTGTAGCTCTTGCTCAGAGTAATAGACCTGATGTGAATTCACTTATGTAGAACCTGTGTGTGGTTTGATAAAACCTTTTCCCTCACTTGTTTTGATCAGAATAATAGACATTAGGTTGTTCAAAACAGATTGTTTGATTTGTGATTTTGCTCCCCTTACACTGTGTGTTTAAAGAAAAGATCCTCTTTTCTTATAGGTCTCTAAATACTTCTTCTGGATAAACACTAGAGCTTTCTTCTTTGAACTTGCAGGTAAAGACACTTGTGTCTGGCTCAACTCTCCCTCTTCATCAGAAGTATTTCCATCAATTTCATGGATGGCGTGTCTTATCTATTGACTGAACAGCACCTGTAAAGCCTGACAAAAGTGTATACATTATAATTCATATACGTTTAATTTAAACATAGCCTGCCTTCTTTCTTAAGTTTCTGCTTTCTCAATGCCCATTACAGCAACATATTACTCACATCACCTCAGAGCAGGCTGCTTACACAGGTTGGTAAGGACAGCTTTGCTACCCTGTCCATTGTCCAAAGGGTGCATAAAAATTTATTGCAATCCTGAGGAATAAGGTGGCTATGCCTCCCCAAGAATTTCAACAATGAGGGATTTCCCACAGGAAGACAGTGTTTCTTGCCTCATCTGTCAAGATTTCTTGAGTAACTTGTCATTAGTAGCTTATTGTGGAAGGAGAGGTTTACACACAGAATGTCCTGCCAGAAGTGGATAAATTAGGCCATGAATCAGAGGGCTGTCAAGATTCCAGGCACAGCTTATCATGATGATGATTAAGAATGATGCAACAAGTCACTTTAGAAGGCAAAGACTGGACTTAAGGCAGGAGGCTGCAATGTGATCCTCCCTTTACAGTGATGCAATAAGTATGTGCGGTCCAAATGCTATGTCACACAAGTCTGTTTGGGGGCTGAGTCATTTTTCACCAAATCCACCAGAAGGGGCATTAGCACAAGAACAAAAAAAAAACCAACAAAACAACCAAAAACTGAGAGTAAAGAGAAATTTGAAGAATCTGGGAAACTATGTTCTCACCCTTCAATGTGGAACGAAGGAAGTTGCTAAGGAACACCCTAAAATCATAGATGCCCCATAGCCAAGTACTGGTTTTGAATGAGGCCTTTTATCTCTTGAAGACAGTTCAGAGGTGTAACCCTTGTATTGGTTTAATGACAATCATTGCCTTCACAGGTCATGAAGTTGTGGTGGCTTCTACCTTCAGCAGCTGGCATATTTTTCCCAAGATGTTGTTTCCTCAGCTTCTGCTGTAGGTGAAAAAAAATAAAATGTCTGTAAAGTTTAGGCATTGTAGTTTTAAAAATATACTTTTTATGGCTATAAAAGCTTTTGATTTAGTATACGTTTACGTTCACTCATAGCTGCTCACCTATCTGAGCTACCATTAAAGTATCATACACCTTTCATAGAGCTTATACAACAATGCCTATTTTAAAATTAATTTAAGTTGCAAATCCTACAGTATATTCATAACCCTGGCATATTTCCCAGTAAGATGATTTCATTTAGAGGTGGACAGGATGTGCCAGGTATAGGCATCCAATTTATATGCCTTAGTTGTGAGGTTAATTGTTTCTGTGTTCATGTTATAATCAATACTGAACAGGAGAGGCTTCTTAAAGGACAGCTTTGATCCCCTGAAATTAAGGATCTGCTCTGAACTACTATTCAGAGAAGACTATTTCTCTGCAGTGGTTGTCTACAGAGACTAGCCAATTGACAAAGGCATGGAGGTGGATTCTTGGATTTAGGAGATACCACCGTCCCTCTGTGACACTGAAAGAATCCATCATAGTGCAAAGGCAAGGGCCCATCATAGAATAGTGGTTAGCAATCTTAGTGCAAACTAAGCTGAAATTTCCTAAATATGAAAGCTGTGGTCTTGAAATGGTGACTATTCAAATAGTACTATAATTTTCAATAGAAAGACAAGGAAAAGTTCATATACCTTCTTGTTCTTTTATAACAAAATAGTGCTAGGGAATTCATCTTGAAATTTATGCTATTATTGCTGTTAGCCTGTAATACGTACTTAAAAACAAGTACTGTGGAAAAGGGAAGATATGTGCAAATAAATTATTAAAGAGCAGGGGAAATTTTTTCAGAATTGCATGATGCAAATGGTGTGATGGAAAAAAGGTCAGCTTAAGTTACATCAGACCTCTGGGTTCTTGTTTCAAATCAAAATCGATTTCAAGCAAAACCAAATGAAATCATGCTGAGAGAAAGGCCACAGTAATATTTCAACACTCCACTGTACCATAAAGTATTATCTGATCTTCCATATCACAGAAGTTATTCAGTTGGTCTATTTGGATATTTTAATAATATTCAATATTTCAAATTAGTGGATTATAATAAGGAAAATCAGCCCCTTTTAATTAAAAATGGTTCGTGCTAAGTCAACATTTCATATTTTCAAGGCAGTTCTTCACAAAAGTAATTAAGATATCTAGACATCTTTTAGTGAGCTGTGGATTTAGGTATTTTGTTTTTCATTCAACTTTTCCCCTTTCTTAAAAGTGAAAGAATAATTTTTTTTTCTCTAACAGATACTTCTTTGGCTGTTTGTGTGGACACCATGCAAAGACCTCTCAATGCTGACCTACAATGTAAGGAAATGCGATAGTTTCTTCAGTACCAAACTTCTAAAGAGTATTAGGGGAATTCAAGGTGAAATGAAATACTACAGAAAAATCCACTTCAGAGGTCTCACTGAATTCCTCTAAGGCCAAGATTTCATACTTTTGCCAGGTCATGTCCTAATCAACACTAAAATGATGCTCAGTTAAAAGCTCTTTTGATGTTCAAACGTCCTCTGGAACTTTTGATATCTTTAATATGAAATGTAAGAATGAGTAAAATAAAATTCAGGAAAAAACCCCACCAAACTGACAAATTCTCTCCAGCAGCCAAAATTGCATTGTGTGTGGGCTTTTAAATAATTATTATACATACACAGACAAATTGGCCTAATGAATATACTGCAAAATTGCTAATGATAGATATCTTAGCCCAGGCTCAAATGCTGCTGTAGGTTAATGTTTAGTGTACCCAATGACTGGAATGGTGATTCTCCTGGGCAGAAGGTGGCAGCTTTTGGCTGAGTATTATTAGGTAATGTCAAAGTAAACATTTATAACTGAGAAAAACAGTGTAGTTGCAATAGCCCACCTAGGCCACCTCATGGTTGTATTGTAATAGTTTCACTCACACCTTCCTCAGAAAGAGAAGGTCAATGTGGGTCAGAGAAGCATTTTCTCTTCCCGGCAGCATCTTAGTTAAAGAGTCAGTCACTTTTACAGATAATTCTCAGATAAACAGGCTGTCTTCAGTAACTCATAATACAACGTTTCTGGCAAAAATAGAAAGTGCATTTTAAAGATAATAACAGATCTTTTCCATCCTGCTGGCAGATATCAGTTACTCTGGGAAAGCACTGTGGATGTTCTGTAGATATGCTAATACGAGGGACTCATTATTCACATGATTATAAGTATGGTAGGAGAAACTGTCTCAGGACAATGGCTTGGATCAAGAAAACTTGAGGAAAGAAATTTTATAAGCAATAAAACCTGCAAAGATTTGAGCTGATCTTTTGCTTTTCTGCTTCCCCCCTGTTATTAATAAACTCACATTTTAGGAGAAGAGAGTTTAGGCTTTGCTACAACTAGAACTATTTTTCTGAGCAGGCCAGAAAGGACACCTATTTATTATCCTAAAAACAGCATTGAAAGATGAATCACCAGTTAGCCTATGTACACATTTACAGTTCCAGAAAGCTGAGGAGCAGTAATGCCAGTTGTGAACTGGGACCACTGACTTAGAAAGGGTTTAGTCTAAAAGACTCTGCTTTTAGAGTCTTACATGGTAAAGTAGGCAGTCAATAGATGAAAGAATAGTATTCTAGAATACATAAATGTTTATGAAAAGGGAAAAAATGAGGAATGAATATGGCAAACAGAAGTAATTGTGTACTGTTTTAATGAGAGTCTCCACCATTGCCTTTTGTTCCTCATAAGCTTTTTCAAGAGAGGGTTGTAACACTGGTATTTTTGATCTGGTATGCAGGCATCTGAATGCAGGTCCTCATTTGGTGATGCTGACTGCAAAACTGTGGAACAGAAAAGACACAAGCCTGACAGAAAATGTGTTGGCATGTGGAATTATGTATGTAGGCCCATGGACTCCCAGGTGAGGAAAGTTCAGCTCTTCTCAGCTGAGTCCAGTTAAGAGGGTAGGGCAGCATCTGAAAGAAATGAAGGAAGAGGAAGCTGGATAACGTGGTGGGAGGTTCAGTGGAAGGGCAGAGGGAGTGACAGGTGTGGTTTTGCCTGCTGGCTGAGGCCAGGGAGAGGAGCTGAGGGACTCATCAGCTGACTTCTCTGAATGAGGTTGGGAACTTGGACGAAGCAATAAAAGCTGAAGGCCAGGGAGATAAAAGACTTTCTTAACTTCTCAACTCTCTAAATGAGGTTTAGTGAGCAAAGGAACAAGTGAAAATGCAGGCAGTTGATCTTCAGGAGTGGTGGTGGAGTGTGCTGCAAGAAGGAGTTATTGGTGGAAGGTGCTTTTGCTTAATGGTCTGTGTGACTGTGTGCACCACAGTGCCCCAGACAAGAGCCCTGGAACTGGGAAGGTAGCAGAGGTGTCAGAGGATTTGAACTGGGCCCAACTTGCTTTATGTGAGGGTATGTGTGAAGTAGATGCTTTGTGGACTTTCCTGAGCCAAATGTTTATGATGTGGTTGCGAGGAGTTGAATGTTGTGACTGGGTGGTCCTTTCCAGTTCCATCACTCATTTGAGATTCTGAGGGGTTATACATGTGTTATGGATATGTATGCTATGTATATATATTCTTCAATACTGAGGAAAGAAAAAAATTCCCAGTAGAATGTTAATAGACATGGGAAACCTCCAAGAGGATAGGTGGATTGGCAAAGGATACTCAGCCAGCTTATAAGTTATATGTAATAGTTTTAGGGGAAATGTTACCAAACTAAGAATGGGCAGTTTCAGAAAACTTGCCACTTTTATCATGAAAGTTGTTCTTCACTGGTTAATGGAATATATTCTCTGAGGAAACTTCCAGTTTTATTCTCTTCTCAATTACCTCATTATTTATATTTATCTAATGCCAAAATCTGCTCTCTGTATCCCCCATAGTCATCTTCTGCTTGGTCATGGACCAACACAGAACAAAACTAGACTCCCTTCCCCAGAAATGTTACAGATTAGTTATAGACAATGATTGTGTTTACTTCTGCATGTCTCTCTGTTAAATGAATGACTTAGGCAGCTGTTGGAAGCTGCCAGAAGTCTTTTAGCAGGTTTTACTGTGAAGCAGGAATCTCTATAGGTCTAGAAAACACAAACATTAGCTGTTCCCCACCTTCAACCACTAAAAAAAAAAAATTAAAAAGTGCCATAACCCAAGAACTATAAGAAATGAATATAGGAAAAAAACCCAACCACTACTTATCCTAAAGAAATGATACCTCACAATAAGCATATTCACTTTATCTTGCTAGTATTATCCCAATGACCTCTGTCTGTTGTTGTCTGTTATTGTTTGTATTTATCCAAGTGCATGCCTGGTGCCTCTAGGTAACCCCACTAATGCCGGCAGCACTCTGAATATCTGTTTGGAGAATCAGGGCCTAACATCAACAAGAGAAGGACTCTTTTGCAGGGAAATGAGGAGGATGAAAAGTCAAATTTTCCCTCAGATTTCATTGTGTATTTTAAAACCTTGAGTAAGGAAATGAGGAAATAATATTAAATCCTGTGATGACTTTTCTTTTGCAGTGGAGGTGATACTGGTTGAAGGGGAAACCCTCTACTGCACTTAGCAGAAATTCCCAAACAGTACTTAAGACTCTCCTCTAGTACAAGGGAAGAATAATGAACAGTTGAATTTGCTATTGACTGACAAAAGCTTCAGGAACCAGAAGGGAGGTAGGTCTTGTCCAGCCTCTGAGCACAGACTTTGGCCCTCACCCCTCCTGTGAGTGTAAGGTATGAAGAAAAGTCAGTTCATTAGCTGTTCGGGCACACTCAGAGGATGTTAGCAAGATGTTGCTCACTCAATGTCTTGTTACATGTGATTGCAACCCTCAACACACAACACAGTGTTACAAAGAATCTCTGCATGTCTTCTGTCATCGTTGGACCTCACTGTTTATCCTGCATCAGTGCTTGGGTGTTAGTGGGTAGAGTTGCTGAGGGTTGCAATAGCATTTGAGTGAACAGCTTGAAAGGTGACAGTCTGGAGGCCTTCTTGTTTATTGTTTGTTTTCCATTGGTCTATCATTTCATGGTCCTGAAACATTTGCTTCGGACTACAAGCTCCCCTTCCTTGCAGCACCTTCTTGCTGTGATGTTGTCCATACTGCGTGATTCAAAAATGCTTGCTTTTAGTAAGTCACACAACACAAATAAATAACACACATGAAAGTTTGTGTGAGTAACTCTGCATTGCAGTGTTTAATATTCTTCAGCCTGCTGCTGAGAGGCAAACCAGTCAGAATATATCAAAACTAAACACAGCACTGGCAAGATTAAACAGCAGTGAATTTGCACATGTAATAAACCTGCTACATTGAGTTTAATCCATGTGTAATTGGGAATAGATAAGGCTGAAATTGAATGACTGCACAGGAACTGCTTCAGATGGAGGAGGGGAGAGGGGGAGAAGCCTAGTGCAGGGAGGCTCTGCAGCCCCTGTTTTGTTATGTAGATGTTGGAATAAGGGGTAGGTTTATGCTGTTTTACTGTGAAAGATATTAGAAAAGTAGTAGGATGTTGATGAACCACAAGTACAGTAAAGGGCTTGGTTGTTGGAGAACTTCAAGCATTAACAGGTTGTTTTCCTCCCTGGACTATGGGAGGGACAGTTATAACTGGGCTTAGTGTCAAGAGGTGTTGCTGATGTTTTCAGACTGTCCTTATCTGACCAGTCTGATTATAATACAGTAAGTAAAACCAAACAGCAAGAATAAAATAGCTGCTACTCTATTGTTCTGCCTTTTCCCCATCATCTCTATTTTTCCATTTAGAAAGGAAAAAACTCATGAATGATCCAAACTCCTCCCTTTCCACTTCAAAAATTATAGTACCGTGGCCAGTCAGTATCTGTGTTGGCTTTGACTCTGTTCCCTGCTAACTGCTTGGCAAAGGAATGTGATGTTTGCCTCTCTTTCAACTTCCTTCACAAACCTGTTGGTATTTGTCGAATTTGGATTTTGCTCCCATGAAATGCATGAATTAATAACTTTTCATGTGTTTTGAAATACATGAGAAGATGTACATTAAAAAAATATTTTCTTAATTTTATGGGATGCAATTCTTTTTATGTTGTTTCTCCCTGTAAAGAGTTTCTAATTCTCTTTCTTTTTAATTCCCATTTTCAGCTGTTCCTCTTCATTGGCTCTTACTAGTGCATTACTGCTCTTGCTAATGAATCACTGATGATTTTGGTAGCTCTGTTACCATCAGACTTGATGCCTTCTTGTCTCTTAGAAAGCCCCTCTGCTGAGCTTTCTGTCTCTATCCCTGTTGTTTTACTCCTGTACTCATCCTCTCTCTGCTACATCTGTAGCCCTAAATGTCTGATTCCCTTTTTGTCTCTGTGCTTCCTTTTCTGTGATTTATCTTGCAGTTACCACCAGCACACAGCAGCTCAAAACAGGCATTAAATGCATACGCAGGCAATCTTTTCCACTTATGCTTAATAGACCCAGTAGGCTTGTAAGGACATTCTTAGGCAGTAACAGAAAGATTTAACAGATCCTTAATAAGTTCAGCTCAAATCCAGACAGCCCACCCTAATTTTCATCCATTACAGAAACTAGAGGATCAAAGGGCCAACATTTATCACACAGGACTTTGTTTTCCTCAGTTGTCTTTCTTTTAATTCAATTAGTATGGCTCACTTTTAAGTGAGCATCAGATTTTGCCACGATTTTACATGATTCCACAGCATGTGACTGTGGAGTTGGGGCACTTTTACCAACTTAGCAGACACCAGAAGAAACTGGAAAAAACACAGTAATTCATCAGTTGGCAAAGCTGGAGTGGGGCTTGTTTTCCATCTCCTGGACATAATGGGTCTGCCTGGCCTGGCACAGGGAAATTTGCTCTGGCACTGACCAAGTGCAGAATTAGAGGATTTTTTAGCAGTTTGATTCTACATGCGCTTTCCTATGTGATTTTGTCTCTGCAAAAATATCCCTAGCTGTGAGTGTCTGAATCCAGAAACAGTGTTTCTGGCAGCCCCTACTCAGCTGCTGCTCAGTTGTGTAGGTACCACTGACTTTTTTCATTTTGATTTACAGAGGTATGCCTGAATCATGAAGTTGTACCTCTCTGAACACCATAAATTACCTCAATCCAGACTGGGAATAAGTGATGTATTGTCCTCACGGTGACACTCATTAGGGGTGTGAAGGTAAAGTGATTTTTTCACCTGTGTCTTTTTGGATGTGTGTGTATCAATTGAGTAGGTGTTCCTTGAGGTTACCCAATATGCAGTGACAAAACTAAGCTGCTTGGAAATGTGCTCAAGACCCCTACTTGTTTTCAAACAGTAGCAGTGCAACTTTAGTCCCCTTGTTTTACATCTGTACTGGCCAAGCTGGTGGGGAAGTTTCAGGATGGCGAGGAAGGACCTGACCTCTCCAGCGTGTCTGACCCTCAAGCTGGACAGCTGTGTTGCAAGGACCATACAAAACATTTGAAGTTCTGTTGCACAATTTTTTGGCTGAAACTATGGGGCAGGGTTTTTAAAATCTACTCTCTTATCGTCTATGTGTTTAGTACTGGTTTGAGTACAAGAACTGTACAATCATTTTGCAAATGGGTCGTGCTTAGCAACAATTACAATAAAATGTAATCCAAAGCCTCTGGATGTGGCATTTTATGTCTCTTGCTTTGTTATTTCAGAGTTGTACATTTTAGTTTGTGATGTTGGTTGTACGTTTTTGCCACAGGATTCAAATGGGAAGCTTAATAAATGAATGTGGGGTTTGCCTGATTAGATTGGCTTCTTACCTCAGTGCTTTTAGCTTGCCCCCCTTGGCTCCCTCCCCTATTTAATCTGAATTTCTTCCTCAATTATGTTTTAAAATTTAGTATTGCATATGACTCTTATTGAGTGTCCATATTACAACATGATGGTGACTTGGCTGCTGGTAATTATATGGACATTGTGGGTGAACAGGATGGTAAGGTAACTAAAAATTAGGTGAAAGTTTTGAGCAGAGAACAATTTAGAAGAAAGTAATGGCAAATGCAGTATCTCTGTGGGGAAAAAAAACCCAAAACAGAGTCAGCTTTCCATATGAGACTGTGCCTCCCTAATGCTTGTGCTGGGGAGTACATAGCATAGCCTATGCATTTCTCATATCTATCTCTACCTATGTTGGTGAAGGGCAATGGAAGATTGGTCCTGAGGTCCCTGGTTTGACTGGTGCTGTGGCCATGACATCTACGTATGCAGCACAGTGCATTACTTGATATTAAATTCTGTGTTCATGTTTCTGCTCTAGGTAGTACTACTCAATCCAAAATGTTTGTTGAATGGTTAACAGGGTAGCAATGCAATAGAAAGGGCTGGCTCAAGTGAAAGAAAAAAAGATTTTTGAAACCTAAATTTGGTTTATAATGGACTTTTTTCACTCTAATACACCTGTTCTGGTCTGATTTTTTAAATTTTATAAGACCATATAGTTCTAGCCCAAAAGCAGTTATTTTGTATTCGACTCTGTATATAGCATCACTTCTTTAATCCTGTAAGATTCTGTTATTTTCTCTCTGACAGAACACCCTTCTCGACCTGGATCAGATGGGTTACCAAACAGACTGATGGACTGATACAGCTCAACAGTTCCTATTTGATTGCTCATGTTTTTTCTTCTATGTTTTTTTTTCCTCCACTTTAGTTACAATACAGTAAACAGGAGTTAGGTGTTCCCAATCAAGCTTTCCTCACCTCCCAGCATAACTTGGAAATTCTAGGAGGTAAATTGTCTGCATTATTTCAAAGCTTTCCCTGCTTCGTGAGTGACAGAGTCACAGTGTGTCTATCACTGAAGGAAGCTGAGAAGTTCTAAAGGCTGACTTCCTCACCATCTCTTTTGTGGAACTGTCCAAGAAATGTGATTCATGGGGAAAAACAGGTAGATGTGACTACAGGAAATTACATATAATCATTATTAATTTGCGCTTGTTTTGTTTTGTTTGGTTGTTTTTTTTAAATGTGTCATTGCAGTTCTTTACTACCTTTTGCAGGAACAGATGAATGCATTGGTGGAGATGCATGCATTCTAAACTGAGGACTTAGAAAGGGCTGATACTTTATTGCCATAGGAATGCTAGGAACAGTGCAAAGGTGTTTAACCTATGCTCTGTATAACTCATGTTTGGCCAGGATAAACTGTTTGGTTTTTTTCTTAAAAAGAATATATATTAGCACCTAAAGAGCATGTGCAAACCTAATAAACTATTTCAAGAGCATAAGGACCATTGGCGTTCACATACATCTTTAAATCCCTCAGTGAGCTGAATAAATTTTTTCCTTCCTAAAAGCAGTTTCAGAAAACAAATTATTGTTTTCTACAGTGAGTGAAGAGTATGAAGCTTGTATGTATGTATGTATATATGTCTATTGGCCCCTCAACCCTGTCATTGCGGGGAAAAAAAAAGCATGTCTTTTTTCACATTGTTTCTTAGTCTAAAATAGAAAATATAATAGCTTTATTACCAACACTTTTGTAATACAAGAAACTGAAGCTAGTAAAATATTGTAGTAAAAAGACACTGCAAATTTTCAGCTCCCTGCGGGTGGGTGTATAGTTTTCATTGGTTTTGTCAGCAAAAATTCTGCCAACTGACTTGTGGGTGGAAGGTACAAAATTTGTGTTGGCAAAACAAGATATTTATTTACTGCTTGTATGGATATAATCTGAGTCACTTCTGAAAGCAAATGCAAAATATAGTTTTCATTTTTCTGTGTGATGCTCTGCATTCATTATAAGTGAAGTTTTTTCAAACATTTGTCAGTATGGTTTAGAATTACCATATAACAGTAGTTACTATGGATGATTAAAATTGTTGAGGAAAAACCTCCTTAACATATTTTAGACTTCATGTACGCATTGATCTCTAAGACAGAGAGATGTGTAGTGCATTTTAATCATATTGCAGTGACTTTGTATAATGCAAAACTATCTCCATTGAAGTCTGAAATGAGTCTGGCATGACCCAAAATCAACATGATAATATATTCTTGATATTCCTTACATGCTGATAACAACAGTTCAGCTGCACTAAAGGATTTTGTCAAGTTATGCTCATTTTCTATAGGTGTTAATATATTTGGCAACGGGAGTTCAAAGTGTTACGCTTAAACTTGTGTTGAATTTGGGTCATCAAGAACTCTAAATTGAGCAATTTCACCAACTGTTGCAGGATGCTGTAGCAAACCTTTGAGTTAAACTGTGCTCCTGTGCATTGAGGGTTGTAATTTAATCAGAGGCAGGCTGTATCTACTTGTCTTCCCCCTGGGAAAAGATGGAAATATGTTAATTTGATATTGCTATAACTTTAAAAGTTGAAGTAGAAACAGGGCAACCTAAAAGGATTGGTTTGTCTCCCACTTCATTCCCCTTGTCTGTTGAGTCAAATCCTTACCAAGATTTTTCTTGGCCTGCTTTCACATTGTTTAGCACAAATTCCATTTTCCTACGTATCTTCATATTTTAAAGACAAGTGTAAAACAGCAGTTCTGTGCCAGGGAGAGGTGTTCCTGCGGCTCCACGTTAAAGAAACACCAGTGGTCACATTGTGTTCTCACACAAATAAACCAGATTATTATGGTTACTGGTTTGAAACTGAAAGATGTGAATGCTTCTTCTGCTCATTATCCTTCCTAATTCAAGCACCTCTGCTTACCACCCTAGATTGCGATGTAGGCATACTTGGAATAACAGAGAGAAAATGAAGCTAGGAAACCAAGCCCAGCAGTAAAACATTGTCACGATTTTTAAGAAAAGCCCATAGCAAGACTCTGAGTAGGACAGTGTTTGAAAAGATACCTGGAAGTGGAAAGAAAGGGACTATTTCCTGCTGCCTGTATTCCTGCTGCGCATATATTCAGGGTTTTATGTTAATGGACGAGTTTGTAGGAACTAGTTGCACCATTGACTTTTCCTTCCAGTAGGAGCAGCCCCCAGAACCCTGCAAAATGCTGAGGGCAGGAGAGCAAGAGCAATCTGTTCATTTTCCCAAATGTGTTTTGGCACAGACATTTTGGTCAACATTAACTTTGTGATACCCATGGTATAGGGGTTCCCATGACAAATACACTCATATCTAACCCTGAACAGCAGGGTTAATCCCAACCCTTCAGGGTTAATTAAGAGGTAATTGCATGGGCCTCAATTAATCCCTGTTTAACTCAGTTGCATTTGATGGAAGGGCACTAGAGATTAATTTGGCATAGTGCCTCATCAAATTCATTAATTTCATTATATGTGAAAAAATATTTTAAGTGTGAGGTAACAGTTGTGATTCTTCTGCCCTGTGATGGGATCTAGCAGCACCAGGCGAGACCTTAAATATGTGTCATAAGGCTATAGATATCAGTATGTTTGGCTGAGTTAGAGAACTGCTACCTCTTCCTCTCAGAGGCTACAGAAAATCTGTAAGCTATTGAATCACACAGTAGTAAAGAACTGGTCTGATGGAGGAGTAAGGCCTTCTTGAATCCCTGATGATTTTTGGTGAGAATGACAAATGTTTGCTATCCATCTCTGAATCAGGCCCATGATGGTTCACACAAGAGTGTGCATTTGCAGGGTGATATGTTACACAACATACCCTACTTAGTCTTAATTAAGGTTATAATTGAGAGGATACCAAAATGTTTTGTCATTATTCTGCAGATTACTGAAATCTTACTAATGAGATTTGACTCTAACATCTGCTGTAACAGTAAATTTAGATCTAGATGAAGAATTCATATGTGTTAAATGGCTCAGCACTGAAAGTGTGGCTAAAGTAGCCCAACGTCAGTCTCTGTAGATTGTTACTTCTGAGTGTTGAGTAAGTAAGTACCTGACTGAGGGGGACAGGAGGGCTCAGACAGGAGGTAGATTACTGGATTTTCGCTATATGCTTTGGTTGGTTTTGCCCCTACAAGCCCTGATACATGCCACAACACCTGCACATGCACAAAATACTCTGATTTCCCTGCCTTTCTCAGTTAACTATCCTCCAAACCACAAAATCTGGGTGCGCTGAAGCTACAGTATATACTCAATATGAAAACTGACTCAACTTCTGCTGCAATATACTGTACCAGGCAGCTCTCAAGAGATGCTGCTGCAATTTATCACCATAAACTGTTTCATATTGGAACAAACAATACTCATGAGGCAATCTGGATTCAAATTAATTCAAAAGCACCATAACTGAAAAGTGAGCAGTCTCTTTGTGTTGTTTCTTTTAACAAGATTTTATGATATGACTAGACTACAAATAACTCTATTCATGATAAACTGGCAACTTTGCAAATTGTATATGCTAAAAGCTATTTGTTGAACAAGCTGTTCTGGAAAAATACTTAAATGAAATCTTCTCTGCTGGCAGAAGAGAGGCATCAATTGCATGGGTACTGCCACGGGTGTCCCATTTCTGGAGCCCCATGGCTATGGGGGCAGTGGTGAGAAAAGACCATCTGGTCCAAAAACTTTTAATTGCTCAAACTTAATCACTCCAGAGTACTAGAGTAGAGGGCAGGTCCATTTGGAGACAGTTTTCCAATCTGGTTGAGAAAAGGTGCAAGGAGGAAGGAAAGCTAAGTGGTCGAATAATTGCTTTTGGTTCTAACCATTTGCATTTGATTCTAGGAAGCTCCCACTACATGATTTCCCTTTGAAGGCATAGCGATATTGTCTTCCTCCAAAATACCCTAGAAGCACCTCTACTTTAATTTGCACTAAGAGTTCTGCTATTATCCTTCAGAGATGTGCTGCATTTTCAGCATGAAAACTTATCTTTAAGGATGAGCGAACTACTGAAAGAGTCCTAATATGTTTTTGTTCACATTGGTAAATACCTCAATCAACATACCTTATGGTATGGTATGGAACAAGCCATTAATGCATCTTCTCTGTAGGAGCATTTCTAGAGCCAAGGAGAAGCATTATAGTTATGTTTTAATGCACTTATCAAAGCATTCCAATTCCTACCTCCAGTTATGATTATTTACCCTGGAAAACCAGCACCATTTGCTCTGGGACCTTTTCAAATTATTTTTACTTTCATAACAATAATTGTAAGTACATTGGAGATTAAAAGCTATTTGTAGAGCAATTAGAAGCTCTTGAGAAAAGCTTGGATCTTAATGTAAAGCCATCTATGGGCTAAAATTTCTATTGCACATATGAGATACACCTACAAAATAATAGTGCATGTAAAGACAGAGTATAAGATGTGTAAACAGCTGGAGGGAGAGAGGGTTTAGACATCTGAATTTGAAGCCTCAAAACCTTCTCAGCTGCCAGTTAGCTCTAGAATGACCTAGACAAGGAGGCAGATTGTGACAACAAAGATTTGAGATACATTACATTCAACTTCTAAATAACCGCAGAAGTTGCCTGCTTTTGGTAGGCATAAACATCATTCAGGGTTGAGCACTGCAGGAATCCACAAAATGGGCTGTTTTGGGAAAGCAACTTAGTATAATGAATGTTTTCTAGGTGCTTCTGATGCAGCAAGCTCCCAGTCAGATGTCATTTTCAAATGGCATTTTCAAACCTGTCTCATTTTCAAACCCTGATGTGGAGGAGTTGATATTACTGCCTTCTCTGCCTATCTGAAAAATCGATATTTAGAGCACATGTCCAGAACATGGGAACTGGAGATTTGTCACTTATGCAGCAGGAGGTCAAATCTGTATATTTTGTAAGAAATGACCTAATTATTTGGATAAAAAATTTTAGTGAAATAGAGGGACTCTCTATTCCTGTTGTTATGTGCTTATGAGCAGCCAGGGGTCCTTGTCCTGAGGCTTAATTAGATCTTTCGCTCAAGGATTGATTACTGTAAGGAAACCAGTCCCTGACAGAGGAATCGAAGAGCAGGCATGTGCCTCCAGACAAAGTGGTTGTGCTGG